CAGTATCCAAATGTTGATGCCAACAAATGGTCAAAGGATTGCCCAAAAACATATGAAAGAGGCAAGCACTTCCTACCAAACCGGGACATACAGCGCCTACCACTTGGAATGAGAAGGTTCCATGATTGGTACTTGCGTGTTCTCCCAACGAGCATAGACCTCGTATAAGCATGCTTCCCCACCGGCACATTTGGAAGCCCAGCCAGAAAAATTGTCTCTGACTTCAATGACATGCAGATATGCTTTCACCTCGGAGCAATGGAGATGAATCTAATTCGCACGTGGTGCCTGTAAGTCCTTGTCCTCCCGATATGATATGAATGTAATCTTTGAATTTTGTTGTAACTAACCCACGCCGTGATTTGTAGAATGCAAGTGCACATTGTAAAACAAATGCCCAGTGTGAAAGCCGGGTATATAGACCCTCAAGTTATAGCACAAACAAATTTTAATTACCCTAAACAGTGGAAACTGGATGACAAAGAGCTGGCTGCTGGAAAGACCCTTCGGGAGAAAGAGCACATCCGTACGAAGAAACTAAGGGAAGAGTCCCTTAAGGTTTCGGCATACATTGCCCTGGCTTTTAAAATTCTCCAACAGCACTCTATTATATGGCTACCATACAACTTCGAGTAAGTCCGACTCTATACTTAAAGCTTTGTTTGATATATTTTATTCGATGCAAAAGAGCTTACCTAGTTCTATGATTAAATCCATGCAGCAACCACTGGATTTATATATGTGTCGATGTCGGGAGGAGCATGGCATGGGCATTTGATTCAATAGATAGGGACCCGGTGACATACAAAAACTTCATATCGATTCTCAAGACGGATACATATCGACAATCCTCATTAGCTTATATGTTTGTATACATACCTGTAACGTTCACTTTTGGATACTAGCAAGTTGTATTTGCTAAAATAATTCGAACAGGGCATTTAGATTCTATGTCACTAAACATCATGGAAGGCATGATCCAGTAAGGAAGGAAAAGCTGGCTATAAAAACACTATGTGCAGTAAGTGTAACTTACTTTTTCAGTACTCTATTACATGACTGTCAAAAGCATTACTTAACATTTCCATATGCAAAACACACAGTGCCCCAACCAGAAGCCTGGGAGTGTACATTGTGGATACTATATATGTTCTATGATGAATAACACCGGTGCCTACAGGAGACACCCCTTAAGGGTAAGTTTGAACCTCTTCACCCGTAGTATAAAAACTTCGTACATGGTATGAAATACTAAACCGAAACTTGTTCTCTTGTAGTGGAAAGAAGAGAAAGAAATGAAAAGAGACCCATACAAGGATGACCAGCTCTTAGAGCTCGTCGGCGATCTTTGCAACTTTATATTGGACCAGATTATACATGTCAAGGGCACCTACCATGACTGAGAGTCTGATTTAGGTAGAAATTCTCAGTACCAACTCATTCGTGAGACTGAAAGGCTAGCTCTAGGACATTGATAACAATGTGTATGGAATTTGACATTGGTTTTACCTTATGAATTATGTCTATTTAATGATGGATTGTATATATTCTTATGAATTGGACTTGTAATTGTAGTTTATATAATACTCTTGTGCTTGTAGTTTATATAATACTCTTGAGCGAACGTGGTTCGGAACGTTGGTCGTAGAGCATTCGGCGGGATTATCTCGCTTTCCTCGCTCACTCGCAACGCGAACGCGGGAATACGCGGAAACAAACAGGGTCATATGTATGTTCTGGTCGAATTTGAATTGTAAATTTGAAAAAAAAAATTACGGGAAAACATACTGTAGGGGCGGTTCAATATAAACAGATATTATAGAGGCGGCTGATACTACAGCCACTCCTACAAATTGATTTATAAGAGTTGTCTAGGAACCACCCCTACAAATACATGATTTGTAGAGACTACCGAGGATGGAGCCGGTACAGCAAGACGTGCCAGCTGCGCTCAAGCCCAAGGCCCGTGAGGGGAGGACGCTGTCGCTGGGTCTTCGAGCTGTCACGGCGGTGCTCAGCCTGGTGGCCTTTTATGCTCAGCGCAATGACGTCCACGTGGGACGGTGGGACGGTGATGGCTATACGAACCGTACAGGTTAGTGACAACTTTGCCTGGACGTCATGCATATGCCGGTCCATGTCTCTAAAGTAAGCCGTGTCGTCGGAGATCTATGGCATGCTCGGCATGTTACTGCGGTTCAGCTTTTCAGCGAGGGAACAGTGTTTTGCTCTCACAATTTTTTTAATATCAGCTATTGAAATATTGTGAGAGCAAAACATTGTTTTTTCACTGAAAAAAAGTACTGCTGAAGTAGTGCCACTGTTCCTTTACTGAAAAGTATACTTCAGCAGTATTTTTTAGTGAAAGAACAGTGTTTTGCTCTCACAACATTTCACGTCGTTCTCATGCATGCTTTAGTCCACTATGCAAAACAATCAGTTAATTTCATGGCCACATATACTGACTGAATATTCTTAGAGAAGCCATCACATGCTGTGGCAATAGATGGCCAAACAAACTGCTCAGCCAGTCATGGCACAGGCCCAATGATGACACGGTCCAACGACTCCTTCGTGTCGTGTCGTGCTTATCCATAGGCTGCCTTTGGTCGAGGCACGGCCTACATTGGTTTAGTCATGCCGGGCCGCCTGAGCTCCTATGTCTTCCAACATGCGCAAATCCGCGGTCGCATGAGCTAGCCAGCCACGCAGCTCGCGCTGCTGGTGGACGAGGTCGTGTCCCTATGCCACTAGGCTACAATCGCCCCGAGATAGTCAGGATCATGCCTCTTCGCCGCTAGGTCGCCGCCGCTTCTATTGGCGTGGAGAAACCGGGAAGGGAGGGGAGCCGACAATGGAGTAGACCACGGAGGAAAGATATGGACAAAGGCGATATGGAAGAGAAGGAACCGGAGAGGGGGGAGGGGAGGTCGAGCAAACGTGTGGGAGCAAGGTGCGACGTGCGGTTTCATGCGAAGGGACGGGAGTTGAGGACTGGACCTAGGTTTCGAATATGAGAAATGAAGGTGCCCTAGATAGGTTTTAGTGGGCCTCCACTAATTGGGTCCGGCACGCCGTGTCGAGGAAGCTACTACCTAGACACGGCCCTATAGTCTCGGGCCAGGCATAGAGCTATACAAACACCTATGTTGAATTGCAAGACCAACCACTCATAGTTCGATCCCTTTATTAATTGCAAACATTGTTATTACTAAAAATATTACTACTAAAAAATAAAATATCCTTGATGGACCAACAATTTTCATAAGGGACGAAATTGAATCTCAAGGAATATTTACCATGGAAGACATAGGAAACCTCCAAGGAAATGCATATTTCATGAGTGCTAACTCAAACCGTTAAGTTAATTCCATATTTTCTTGAGTGTTAGTTTCAACCACCAAGGTAATTTCACATTTTCTTGAGTGTTATTACAAACCCCCAAGGTAATTCAATATTTTCTTGGATTACTACAAACCACCAAGGTAATTCCATGTTTTCTTGAGGATTACTACAAACCATCAAGGTAATTCCATATTTTCTTGAGTATTACTACAAACCACCAAGGTTATCTCATATTTTCCTTGGGTATTATTTCACACTGCCAAGAAAAATGCACATTTCCTTGGGTGTAATTGGAAACTGCCATGGAGTGCTACTAGTTTACTTGGGTGCAAACCCTCAACAGGAAAAAAAATATTCATTTTCTAGTCATACATTCCTATTGACCACTAATATAATAAACTCATTGCAAACTTGTTAGTTAGACATTGCATTTTATAAACACATTTGCTCCCTTGGCGAGTTTGTGTAATGATATACGATTTTTTTCATGGTACATTAATCGAACAAAAGATATAACTTTGAGTTGTTGTGCATTACAGAATGTGTATTGGCACTGTAGCTTGAGATATCTAGTCAGTTTTAAAGCTAGCATGCAATATACTAATATCAGGTGAAAACAAAGTTTATATGAAAGGAGGAGAGGAGAGGAGAGGTGGCTGACCGATTGGAGAGACAGAGTGGCTCTCAGTAGGCCTGGGCGTTCAGTTTTACCGAACCGAACCGATCAGTTCTTCGGTTTTTGAGGAAGTTCGGTTCTCAGGAAACTTGGTACCGATCGGTTCTTCAAAAAACTCGGTACCGACTAAGTTCGGTTTCGGTTAGTTCGGTTTGGTTCTCGGTTCCAACCGAACTAACCGATCAATTATTGAACAAGTTACAGTAAAAAATCAGCAGCATTTTAGCTGTTTTCAAGGCATAAATGACATGGCAACATATGCAAATCAATGAGTCACAACCAAATAACCACAACCAACACATAAGCACATTCACAAATCACAAGTTGACAACCCAATTACTGATCTCTTGGTACCGATTTACACGTTCCTCCCATCGGTTTTGGTTCTTCGGTTATTTCGGTTAACCGAGGGGAGGAACCGATTTAACTGAACAAAGTTCGGTTCCTAAGAACTAAGAACCGAATAGGTAACCGAAATTTCGGTTCTCGGTTAGTTCGGTTCAGTTCTCGATAAAATTTGCCTAGGGCTAGCTCTCGGTAGGACTAAGGGTTCGATGGTGTCCGAAACTTTAAGGCTATTGGGGCGGTTGTTGTGGACTTGGCCGTACTAACCTAGGCAGATCTCTTAATAGGTTTATTTCTGAAAATATGTTTTATTTTGGGAGACATACACTTAAGAAGCATGTCATGTTAATAACTTATAGAGACAAGACTACCTCCTAATATCTACCAGTGGCCTCTAAAATTGACTAGGTATTTTGAAGACACAAATTTTTAGACTGTCTTTGAAAATAAAAGATATAATCGTTTAAAGTCATTTTATAGTAGTGTTAACTAATTAATTTAATAGGGTAATGGATAGAATAAAGAAAAACTCATCATAAATAAAATAAAAGAACTTCTTGTGAAGCCTCGATTCAGTACTGCTTTCATATTTTGTTGGCATTAAACTACTATTTTTTCCTTCACCGATCCGCAAATGATGTACTACGGCAGGTACGGCGTCGGAGTGAACGCGTTCGTCTGCTTCTACTCGATCGCGCAAGCATTTGCTGAAATCCTCCGCCTAGTTTGGCCGGCATCTATGCCGCGGAGCACCTCAGGCTACAGCTGCAGCCTCTTCCTCGATCAGGCAGGCACATGCATTCTAGCTTCCAGATACATCTATTTGCCGGTGTGAGCACAGACGGATCGAGATTACCGTGGCTGAATTAGTTTCCCCTGCAGGTATTGGCGTATCTGCTCATATCGGCTTCGTCGGCAGCCGCGTCTCGCAACCGTCTCTGGGCGTTGAGACACGGCGAGGACCAGTTCGACGGCAAGATCAACATCGCACTGTGGTTTTCATTCCTTGGGTTCCTTGCGCTGTCAGCCAACGCGCTCATCTCCATGGCTAATCTATTCAGCAGGATCTGATCGATCGATCCATAAACAGATGCTGCTCCTAGGTTTTCCTGTCTTGCAGTACAAATATGTTCGTGCTGAGTTTGTCGTGAAATAATTAATGTATGCTGAGTGTGTGCTCCCAAAACACTAATAATAAAAAAAATGAACTTTGCTAGCTATTTGTTCACGAAATCTACATAAACTCATAGTCTCAAAAGCCACACCACACACCACACCTTGTGTAATGTAAGGCACACATGTGTTTGGTTCGATGCCAACGGTGGACCTGGTGAAAGTGATCACATCGATCATGTGTAGCAACAGTTTCATCCGCATCTAAGCGACCAAGTTACAGTTCTGGACGAGCTGTTCCCAACAACCAACAAAAGAGCCTATAGAAAAAGCAACGTGCTCTACTCGGACGCCGGAGTAGGATCGCGTAGCCAGTAGAGGAGGTGCCCAGCTTCGTAGGTTGCTGCACCGCTCTTAGCTTGGTTGTAGACCTTTTATATAATATCGAAGCTTGAAATTGGTTGCTAGGACGGTCCAGCCTACGGCTGTATGACCTTCTAGGACGCTCGTCAGAAGCATGTCGTTTGTATGGTTATTCAACTCTTCTTCTTAATTACAATGATACGTAAATCTTTTGCAAGAAAAAAAAAACAGGTGGTGTGGAGACTTCTTCTCACCCGTTCGATGCACCTCGTCTCCATCCCAGGCGCATTGTCCCAAGCAGATGGCACGGAGAAATGGCAGTGGAGGTCATAGCCAGGTCAGTGGCAAGCCGCAAGCATGGACACCGACAAGCATGAGCAGCAATGCACCTCCATCCGCATCCAATCCCATGCCAGGGAGGTGAGCGATAGTTGAAGATGAATTGATAAAAAGCAACAGAAACATTTTTTTACTGTTTGGGCATCCGCTTCAAAATTTCCTGGCATCGCTCGTAATTAATTGGCACTGATGGCTACAATGGAAGGAATAGTGATCTAATTTTCCTTCTCCTTTTTAGCACCACTTGGTGCTAGCCACAGGAGGGTCTTAATTAGTGCTTTATCCAACAATACTTAAGGCATGTGATCACTTCATTATCACTAAGGACCCGTTCGGTTTTGCTAGATTGCACCAGGAATTATTCCAATTGATCAATGCTTATATAATTTTGCAAAGCAATCTAGGTAGGATTCATTCCAGCCAATGATTCCCTGCCAAATGAACGAGCCCTAACTAATTGATCTTTAAAAAGTTCTAATGGATTTTCTTTTAATGTATCTTGAATGGTTTGTTGCAAAAATAATAATTATTCTTTAAATTCAAGGTTATCATCTTAAACTATAATTCGCTCGTTGTTTTGCTATATGTTCGATTACAGTATGTACGTGTGGTCTTTTCCACCTTTTGGTTTAACTTGTAGCCCAAATTTGCTCCACCAGATTTTTTGTTAGGTCCGCCACTCGCTCCCAAGCTATCACTTTTCAATAGGGGTGGGCTTTTTTTTTTTTGCCCGTTCAGTTCCTCGGTTCTTAAAAAAATTCAATTCATAGAAAATGGGAACCGGTCAACCAAGCATTTCGTTTTTTTTTGTTTATTTTGGTTCGGTTCCAATTCTAACTGAATTAACTTATTTTTTGCAACAGACGTTTAGACAACAAATAAATATGCCGGTTCTTAAACTAATTTAGGCGACACTACATCTATTTAAGATAATAATAACTAATAAGAGAACAGTAACAATATAGTAACACAAATACATGACAATTCAAATATGGACATTACATACAAACCAATATAAGCCCTATTTGGGTCCCAGGGCCTAGAATTTATATACTAAACTCTTTTTTAAGAATTACACAGTACAACACAGACACTTATAATGCACGTACACTCACCCCTATAAACACACGTACGTAAACATTATTCCTATAAGCAGCTCCGAACAGCTCCGAATGACTGAGCCGGCAGATCATGAGATTCACAAAGTTACCACAGGCGCCTCGCTGTCGAGATGGACATCGCCTACTACTGAAAGCATAACACCGTTAAATTCTGAAATAAATCCAGAAAAATGCGAGCACCCGTGTCAAGTCGACGACTTAAACCCGGATGGACAGGTTTCACCACAAGAAACCCAACCAGCTGATCTATGATCAATTCGCATTATCTACTAAACTTTAGACCACTTTAATTCTTAAGGCTCTAAATAGAAGATCTAAAATGTTGTCTAAAATTTAGTCAATCTCACAATAACTTTAAACCCCTCATAAGGAAGTCAAAATGATCTAAAATTATAGTCCTCAACTTTCGCCAACTGAACAGAGAATCTAAACTGGGTCATAGTTCTACAAACTGCAAGTTAGTATGGTTATCAAAAATTGAAATTTCTTTGGTTATTCAGATTCATTGATATCTAGAACCAATAAGCGACCGCCTTTTTCAGTTCCAGTTCTTTTATTCGGTTTTTTCGGTTAATTATGCCCATCCCTACTTCACAACGTGCAACGTTTCTGCATGTGGGCCAGGGTAAAGGAGGTTATCTATTTTTTTGGAAATAATAAATACCATGTCTAATTTCTAAAAATTCATAATTAACTCATTTATATAAATCAAAATATATGAAACTGCTAACAGAATCTAAAAAATGAATCTGTCTGTTGGTATATTTATAGTTATTTGGCTCTAATTTGTTTTTGTTTCTTTTCCTGCCTGCGGTCACAGGCATCAGTTATCTAACACAAATGATTTGACACACCGTATAGTTACGCCTAAATGACAGCAAAGTGCATGTTTAAATATGAAGCATTTAATATAACACAATAGATACTAAATCCTGAGAAGGCAATCGGCTCTGTCATTTGTATCACAACAACAACAAAGTCTTTAAGTCCTAAACAAGTTGAGATAGGTTAGAGTTAAAACACAGCAGAAGCAATCAAAGTTCAGGCACGTGAATAGCTGTTTTACAAGCACTCATATCTAAGGCTAAGTCTTTGGGTATATTCCACCCTTTCAAGTCTCCTTTTATTACCTCTACCCAAGTCAACTTTGATCTTCCTCTGTCTCTCTTCATGTTACTATCCTGACTTAGGATTCCACTACACACCGGTGCCTCTGAAGGTCTCATGTCCAAACCATCTCAACCGGTGTTAGACAAGCTTTTCTTCAATTGATGCTACCCCTAATCTATCACGTATATCATCATTCCGAACTCGATCCCTTCTTGTATGACCGCAAATCCAACGCAACATACGCATTTCCGCGACACTTATCTGTTGAACATGTCGTCTTTTCATAGGCCAACATTCTGCACCATACAACATAGCAGGTCTAATTGCTGTCCTATAAAACTTGCCTTTTAACTTCTGTGGTACCCTTTTGTCATATAGGACACCAGATGCTGCACCACTTCATCCACCCTGCTTTTATTCTATGGCTAACATCTTCATCATTATCCCTATCTCTCTGTAGCATTGATCCTAAATATCGAAATGTATCCTTCCTAGACACTACTTGACCTTCCAAACTAATATATTCCTCGTCCCGAGTAGTAGTGACGAAGTCACATCTCATATACTCAGTTTTAGTTCTACTGAGTCTAAAATCTTTGGACTCTAAAGTCTACCGCCATAACTCCAGTTTCTAATTCACTCCTGTCCGGCTTTCATCAACTAGCACTACATCGTCCGCGAAAAGCATACACCAAGGGATGTCCCCTTATATGTCCCTTGTGACGTCATCCATCACTAAGGCAAACAGATAAAGGCTAAAAGCTGACCCTTGATGTAGTCATATCCTAATTGGGAAGTCATCCGTGTCTTCATCACTTGTTCGAACACTAGTCACAACATTGTTATACATGTCCTTAATAAGCTCGACGTGCTTCGTTGGGACTTTATGTTTGTCCAAAGCCTACCACATAACATTCATTGGTATTTTATCATAAGCCTTCTCCAAGTTGTAAGAAAAATAGACCCTTGGCCCATTTACTTTGGATTTTGGTGTTTGATGACCAACACAGCCAAATTAGACTAATGAATTTACAAGTGTTTATTTTGTAGTTCAATAGGGTGCAAGACGTGACTTGGACGAAGACGACGTGGTGATCCAATGATCAACACCTTAAGAAAGACCTTAGAAGCACAAGAGAAGACCCAAGATATCAAGCAAAGTCCAAGCACGAAGATTGGAACCAAGCCGTACGCAAGATCGCGAAGAAATGAGCTCACTGTGGTGACCGGATGAAGGACCGGACGCTGGACAAGCAATCGGACGCTGCGACCGGACGCTGGGCAAGTGGCTCGGCAGACAGGCGACCGGACACTGGACCGGACACCGGCGGCAACTGACCGGACGCAGGACAGCAGCGTCCGATCGAGTACAGTAAGGTTCCAGAGCGGCGAAAATGCGACCGGACGCGTCCGGTGGTATGTGACCGAACGCTGGCAGCGTCCGATCAGTAGATCGCGGTTCCAACGGTCGGGAGGACCGGACGCGTCAGGTCAGAACGATTCAGCGTCCGGTCAGTAGTAGTTTCGCGGGAATTCGACCCCAACGGCTACTTTCTCAGTGGGGCTTATAAATACAACCCCCAACCGGCCATTTGAAGAATGTGGAGCTGAGAAAACATACCAAGGGTGTTGATACACCATTTTAGTGATCTCCACATGCATAGTGCTTAGTGTTTTATTAGGTGATTAGCATAAGTGCTTTGCGAAGTGCTTAGGTTGATTAAACCACCGCTTATGCGCTTGCTCTAGGTTTATGCCTAGTGTTTAGTGAGGTTTGCGTACCTCTTGCCACCCCGTGCTTGCGAGCACAAGTATTGTACATCAGAGGGGCTTGAAGTCTTGCGAGATCACACCAACCGCGTTTGTGATGTGGTCGCCGCTGTGTACCAGAGGGAACAAGGCCCGCGGTGTTTCAGCCGGAAGCTTGATAGTGAAGACGGCAGGGAGCATCCGGGAGAGGCTTGCCGGAAGGCACATCGGAGACCCACTTGCGCGTGGGAAAGGCCTGAGGCTATCCACGGAGTTACCCAACCGGGAGCTTGGCCCTTGCGAGGGATTCCTTACGAGGGGCTCCAACGAGGACTAGGGGGAAGCTTGCGCGCTTCTCGATACCTCGATAAAAATACCGGAGTCATCGACGGGAGTTTGCATATCTCTACTTTGCTCTTTAGCTTCCGCATTTACATTGATTACTTTACTATGTTTGCGGTCGAGATAGCAACACACTAGCAAAACCGTAGTTACACATTTACATAGTTTATCTTTTCCATAGGTTTTACTAAGGTTAGAAAAAGAGACTATAGTTTAGAGTTAGAATTTTAAGTTGCCTAATTCACCCCCCCCCCTCTTAGGCGTCAAGGTCCCTTCAATTGGTATCAGAGCCCGGTTGGCTCATTTTGGACCTTTGGCTTAACCGCCATTGAGCCGACACTATTTACAGTGGTTGGGATGGATACCGCTAGGCCTCTGCACTTTGACGTCACTAACTCCCCGTACTATAAAGCTAGAATGGCTTATCACCTTGAAGCGGTTGATTTGGGTGTATGAAGTCACTCGTGACGGGATGAAACCCATCAAGAATTAGTCACGATATCAACTAATTATCTTAAGTTACATATAAGCGACCCTACATTCCAACTACCTAAACGAATCTTAGTTGGTTCAACTAGCTTTCTTACCCTTCGCACCCATCAACTCAGATGTGAAGACCCTTACTTATTTTTCACTACACCCGAGCGCTGATGTAGCGCGCCACTAAGGAAGCGACAACCCGATCCTGGCTCACTTGACACCATGCCCAGATCACGACATGGCGCGTCACCAAGGAGGTGCCGACCCGGCCCTTGCCCATTTAACACCATACCCGGGTTCCGATATGGCGCGTCGCTAAGAGGGTTACGCCCCAACGATTTTCTTTCGGGTTTCATCTCCATTAGAATGGCTAGATTTAACGTTGGCTCGCCACACCTATCACAACCCTCCTCCTTTGCCAAGGCTTAGGACCTGCTATGTTGAGACAACATAGGCGGAGTTCGGCTCTGTCATTTGTATGCTTATAAGAAATGAGGTCAGATCTGATCATCCCTCTTCATCCAGGAGGCCTCTATGGCTGTTCATTTCATACCAGGGCCGTACCGACAAAGGACCGTTCTTGACGGGAGGAAGCTCAGTTGTTATTCCGCCAGTGGATGCCTGATGATCCCACGCCCTTCATCCAGAATGAAGCTGTTATCCCTGAAGTGTGCACTGGAGAAGAAAGGCTTCATATCGTAGATCTCATACTCTTGGGCCTGGGTCAACAGGTGTAGCAAGTCAGGATCCAGATGTTAAAGAGGTCACTCGGCTTGGTTTTGTGTGGAAGCACTCATGTAGGCTTACCTTGTTCCTCAGGTCCTCCACTTTGACATTTGACCTCGACGCGAGTAAGGCGCGAGGTTGATCCTGAGATGATTTCTTCAAAGTGCAGTGCATCCTTAACCAGTGCGCGCAGAAGGAGCAGAAGCAGCTCATTGTAATCCTTCTTAAATGTCATGTATTTCTGGAAATTCTGTGGATAGCAGAAAATTCATGTTGTGATGTTTGCAAGGCATTCAGTAGTTCCAGACTACCCAGACCCAGACTGATTAGTACAAGGTAACAAGATTCAACTCATGCTATTAGCCTAATCTGAAACAAGACTTAGAAAGCAATGCATGTTCATGACATTTACTGACAACTGACGCCGTTTAGTACATTATTTCAGTTAAATAGATTTTTTTCTCAAACACGCAGAAGAGCTGCGTATCATTACATTAAGAAGAAAAAACCAGAGTAAATAACCCTTACAATAGATGCACTTTTACATAAATCTATCAAATGCATGTACTTGTGTGGCATTGGATGATGTAATGGCCCCTTACAATAGATGCACTTTTACATAAATCTATCAAATGCATGTACTTGTGTGGCATTGGATGGTGTAATGGCCATATAACAGCTCAATACCAACAAAATTTACCTTTTGAAGTGCTTTCTGCATACTGAGTTTCTAAGTTGAAATAAAAGAGTCAAGCAAGACATGGATGGCCATGTCAACATCTTCCTGAGACATGTAGCTCCTGCCTCCGACATTCAGATGATTGGTTCTATATGCCTTACTGCAACTGGAGCCCCTTGGCCATGCTGCAAGGTTAGTTGGAAACTACTTATTACTTCATTGTTTTCAAAGGTGACACTTCAGAAATTTAGTTCACGCAAAACACTAGACAAGGCTAACGATGGATATCATACAGAGGATTCACGACAGAGGTCAGCATAAACATGGCTAATCTTATCTAGATCGGCATTATATATTTTGGGAATACATTCAGCTTAAACATATGTTATGTACTGCAGCATGTCTTGGGAAAGGACCTGACAATATAACATTCTGTTAGAACCACAAAACAGAGTAAGAGGTTCTTTCAGTTGAAATAGATAGGATACATACATCTGGATCAGCTTGTCTTGCAGCGGCCAGTGGATCATCACCCACATCAGTTGGAACCCTGTCTTCAAGGTTAGCCAGCCGCCTTGGGTTGGGATCTGGCATGACTATCCACAACAAACCTTGCAAGTATTTCATCTGTAAATGGATCAATAATATCCTGCATTTTACAAATTAAAGATTAGTAGTGATTGACAACTGATCGTGGAACAAATATATCACACATGAATAACAGCTCCAAACCTTAACCATGCAGTGGACGTCAAAACGTGAAATAATGGGATTCGTCAGTACAAGATTCTAAGTGAATGTCTTTGATGAATCATACCTGTGAAACAAGAATGCTTGCTATCTTTCTTAATACTAGGCACTGGTATTACATGGCATGCACGGAACTGAAGTTACCTTCCCCCTATTGGGTTTGCTGCAGCAATTACACTGCATCTAGCTTGAACCTTGAAGAGACGTGACAATTCCTGCTTTTGATATACTGATACTCTGTTGCTCCATAGCTTCATGAATACTTACCCTGAAATAATCAGAAGAGAATTACATTTTAGTAATACAGAAATATAAATAGTACAGGGCATCCAAATGCAAAGGTTATCTCATACCTATCCTGATCATTCATCTTGTCAAATTCATCAATAAGGCAAATGCCCCTATCAGCAAGGACTAGTGCACCTCCCTCAATTGTCCATTCTCGTGTTACTGGATCCTTGTGAACCACAGCAGTAAGACCAACAGCAGAGGCTCCTGATCAGTCTAGGCACATCACCACTAGAATACATTCCATGCTGAGATCTTCCAGGTGAACTAGGAGTGGCACCATCACCATCATCATCACTTCTTGGTGTTCTCATCCACTTGGTGGTCTAAAACTAGCCCTGTGCCTTTTTGGACGCCTGAATTCATATCCTCATCTGTATCTGCACCATGGAAGATAAGAGCTTTGCATTCACACAGAAACTGACATCTAAACCTTGGACTTCTATATATGTTACAAAAGTTTACACCTAAGGCAATCATGTTACCGTTTTTTTACAAGAATCTATAACTATCAGTTCTCAAAAAATTATCTACACGTAATCAGTACTGCGAAACGAAGATTGATTGCTAATATCTGTTGTATGCTTACTATATGGACATGAACTCAAAACAAACATTAATAACTTCCTAAACAACAAATTCATTTGCGGTTGAGACATAAACGGCACACAGCTCTTGTTATGTGCGGCAAAGTCTATAGACGCCGTAGTGGCTAGACTCAACCGTGTGCCGACCTGGGGGGGGATTACCAGGTCACCAGTGGGCGCACAGGGTTGGGTTAGTTTGGATTCATAGTCATTAGGGTTTGGTTAGTTGAGATTAAAGAGTCCTAAAAGATAGGGATAGTTGGTTAGGTTGAGTCCTATATGTATCAAACTCTATGGATCAATAAAGGGTTAGCCTAGGGTTGAGTTTATCTCAACTTGGTTCCTGGGCGTTACTGTTCACGATCCACCTCTTGCCGCAAGTCTTCAGCCAGGCGCCGAGCACGGCGCCGCCAGTTCATCGTCGAGGCTTCAAGCCCAGGCCTCGCACCTTCCACTCCTACAGCCTTCGATCCCTAAGCCGTAACAACCTGGTATCAGCCATGTCTGCTCCTGCGGCTTCCGCGCCCATACCGCCCTCCTCCTCCGCCGCCAACCCATCAGTCACCACGCCCATCAACTCCGCCGCCATAGTTACCATGACAGCGCCCATTGTCTCGGCGACGGTGCCCGGGCTACAGCCGGATTTCTCCCCGGCCGACCTTGCCCAGGCGTTCAACGGGATGACCGCTGCCATGGGCGCGTTGCAGCGCCAAGTCGCAGAGTTGTCGCTGCGCGTGTCTGCAATTGAAAGCCCGCCCTCCTCCTCCACGTTTCAGTACGGGCTGCCAGGCTATGGTGGTCTCCCTCCACAGAGACCGGTGCGGGAGCTGCCGTTCTCTTCACCGGCTCCTCAGATCACCCTGACAACACAGATGGCGACCAGTGCCAGCCCGGGGCGGATGGCGGCGCAACCGACGTCACAAGGCGTGCCGATCACGGAGATCTCCTTTCCGCCGTCCCCCTCGCCAGTACCGTCCCTGTCCCAGATCATGCACGGTTCTGGATCACATGCACCAATGCAGTCGACAACATCAGTGCATCACCGGCCTTCAGACCCTGAACAGTCAGCGGTGCCGCGCTACCACAAGCTGACGTTTCCGTGCTATGATGGGGCGGAAGATCCGTTGGGATGGTTGCTCAAGTGCGAGCAGTTCTTTAGAGGACAGCAGACCCGGGCCGTCGATTGGGTGTGGCTCGCATCCTTCCACATGACCGGCAAGGCCCAGATGTGGTATACCGTTCTCGAGCGGGACGCCGGGCGACCGACATGGGATGATTTCAGTCGGCTTTGTCAGCAGCGGTTCGGCCCTCCCCTCAGCACCAACCATCTCGCGGATTTGGCAAGGCTGCCGTTCTCGTCGAATGTTGAAGCTTATCTGGACGCTTTCCAGGCCAGATTAGCACATGCAGGCCGCCTCTCGCCGTACCAGCAAGCACAGCTATTCACCGGTGGACTGCCAGATCATATCCGTGTGGATGTCGAGCTCCACGATCCGCAAGACTGCGAAGAAAGCGATGCGCGCGGCACGCGCGATATGAACGCCGAACGGCCCTCAACGGTGGCTTCACGGGCGCCACCGGCGGCGCGCCGGCCGCAGTGTCTTCACGCGCCGCCACGGCGCGCCTCTCGACGTCGGTAGTGGGGACCACCACCTCGGGGCCATCTACGCGGACATTCAAGAAGTTATCACCGGAGGAGATGGCGGGCGCCGCAAGCAAGGCCTCTGTTACAATTGTGATGAGCAAGATGTCCGTGGCCACAAGTGTGCCCGCCTATTCTATTTGGAGGCCTCGGATTACATTGTGGAGGAGCGGGAGGGCGAGGAGTCAAAGCCAATCCACAACAATGACAAGCAGAAACCGCCCCGATCAACACCGAAGCTCGCGGATCTCGCTTAATGCCATCACCGGCATTGAACAGCCCACAACGATGCAAACTCTACGTTCGGTCGGGACTACGACTTTGTTGCTCTCCGGATTCCGGGTCTCGCGATAACTTCGCGTGCGCGGACATCACGCGCCGCATTGGCCTCCACTTCCGGCCATGCCCGGTGCAAGCGCCCTCGTCATGAACGGAGACCGCGCGTCGCGTGCGCCAGCCTAGCCACGACGTCGCCATCGAAATTGCCGGCGAAACGTTCACGGTGGATCGCTATTCTATTCATTTGGATGGCTACGACATGGTCCTCGGCATCAAGTTCCTTCGCACATTGGGGCCCATCTTGTGGGATTTCGATGACCTATGTCTGGCTTTCACAAGGGCAGGTCAACGTGTCTTCTGGAGAGGGATCGGCTCCACAAGATATGACGTTCAGCCGACACGCCTCCATCTTTGTACAACCGAGACGGGCGGCCTCATCATGCAGACCCTCCCGCAGGAGTTCGACGACATCTTTGTGGAGCCAAAAAGGATCGCCGCCACGGCTCGACGTTAGGATCACCACATCCACTTATTGCCAAACACAAGACTCAGTTTGTAGCGGTCCGGCCCATCTGAGATACCCGCAACTTCGGAAGGATTTAGCCGAGACCCCAAGGTGTCCGCCATGCTACAACGAGGGGATTATCCGGCCGTCAACTTCGGCGTTCTCGGCTCAAAGTGTTGTTGGTCAAGAAGCCGGATGCCTCCCCTGGCGCTTCGTGTTGACTCGGGCTCGAACGCAGCGCCGCAGTTAAGGACAAGTTCCCCATCCCGGTTGTGGAGGAGCCGCTTTCGGCGAACTTGGCGGCGCACGGTTCTTTACAAAGTTGGATCTTCGTCCGGTTACTGTGTCGGTCCGGATGCATCAAGATGACATCGAGAAGACGGCGTTCGTAACACACCATGGACACTTCGAAGTTTCGGTCATGCCATTCGGCCTCACCAATGCGCCGGCAACATTTGAGCCTAATGAATGCCGTCCCCACACCCGTTTTCTGCGTAAGTTTGTCTTGGTTTTCTTCGATGACATCTTGATCTACGTACTCGTGGGACAAAGACATCTCCGGCAGTAAAGCGGTCTGTTGGCGCTTCGTGAGCACCATTTGCGGCGCTCAAGCGCGACAAATGCTCATTCGCCGAGTCCTCGGTGACATATCTCGAGCATGTGATCTCGGTGACGGTGTGGCCATGGACATCACCAAGGTGGAGGCCGTAGTAACATGGTCAAGAATCGCGACGATCGTAGGCTGCCCACTACATGATTCCTCGGTTTACGGCTACTACCATGAGTTCATCAAGGATTACGGCGCCATCGCGGCACCCCTAACCGAAGCTACTTGGTAGCGACGCGTTCTCCCGGGTCGGATGAGGCTATGTTTGGCGTTTGACTCCCTCAAACGAAAGCATCGTCTCATGCCGGTCTTTGCTGCAATGCCGGCATTTGACCTACCTTTACGGTGGATCGTGATGCGTCGGGAGCACGGATTCGCGCCGTTCTTCATCGAGGCACCGGTGCAATTGCATTTTTCAAGAGGCCCTTTGCGCAAGCGACATATGAAATTGGCGGCTTATGAGCGTGAATTGATCGGTCTCGTGCGGTGTCGTGCGACACCGGAGACCATACTTATGGGGAAGCGCATTTTGTGGTACGTCATCACCACTATGCACTAAAGTTTTTCTTGGACCGGTGGCATTGTCGACGCCGCGCCGCAACATCATTGGGTAACCAAGCTTTTGGCTATGACTTCACGGTGGAGTTTCGCCGGTACATTCAACATTGTGGCGGATGCTCTTTTCCGCCGCCACGATGACGATGTCTGCTGCTCATGCTATCTCTGGTCCGTCATTTGAGTTGTTTGCTGAGCTACGACGAGAGGTGCAGGAAAACCCGGATTTGCGCGCCCTCCGAGACACGGGTGTCGCCCGGTAGCACGCTTCGGGCGTGGTGGATGGTGATACTTTACGACAGCAGGTGTTCATTCGGAGGGTCGCGCTTGTGCCCATGGTACTAGACCTTGCTCATTCAAGAAAGCCATGAAGGGTTCCAAAAGACTTTGCGGCGTTTTCGCTCGAATTCTTCATCGACCATGACAATGGGCCGGTCCGTGACTTTGTCCGCTTCTTGCGCTGTGTGTCGCCAGAACAAAGGTGGACTCTCTCAAACCATAGGCCTCTTGCGACCCTCTTGGAGGTACCTTCGCAGTGTGGGCGGACATAGCTCTTGACTTCATTGAAGGGTGCCATGGGTCCATGGAAAGAGTGTCATATTGATTGTGGTCGATAGATTTTAAACATGCTCATTTTATACCCCTCACCACCCGCATACGGCTATGTCAATGCTGGCCACAAGGCGTTCTTTGACTAGCATAGTTCGTCTCCATGGGTTCCCCAATTCAATTGTCAGTGATCGGGACCCGGTATTCACAGGACACATTTTGCGTGATCTCTTTAAGCTTGCCGGTGTCACACTACGACTCAGTACGGCATTCCATCCGCAGACGGACGGTCAATCGGGCGTCAACAAGACGATAGCTATGTATCTCCGGTGCATCACGGTGACCGCCAAGATGGCTTGAGTGGCTTCCTTGGGCGGAGTATTGCTACAACACGTCTTATCATTCGCCCTTCGACATCGCCGCTCCAAGTTGTTTACGGATCGACCGCCACCAGCCTTTTGCTGCCAGATATCTTCCGGGTTCCTCTCATGACAGATCTTCGTTGATGCGCTCTCGCAGAACCGCGATGACTTCCTCGCTGATGTGCGTGTACAGCTGCTCGAGCTCGTGGAGTATGCCTAAGCGCCTAATATGACCGCACTCATCGTGCTTTGAGTTTCGTGTGGGTGGATCGGGTTTGGCTCCGATCCTCGCGTGATCGCCCTACATGACTTCTGCTGCCGGGGCGTCGCGGCAAGCTCAGTCCGCGGTTCGCCGGGCCTTACCAGATCGTCGAACGCATCGGTGAGGTGGCCTACCGCTTGTTGCTGCCCGCTGGAGCCAGGATTCACGACGTCTTCCATGTCGGGGTGTTGAAGCCATTCCGCGGTTCTCCTCCATCTACAACGCCGCAGATCGCCTCCGCTTCACCAGGACGCCGACAGGTTCCAACAGACTGGTCTTGCGTGCAATTTGCGTCGCGGGGTTTGGCATGTGCTCAAATCAAGTGGGCGAGTCTTACGAAGTCGACGCATCATGGGAACCATTGGAGGATTTCGCGCCGAATTCCCCACCTTTCAATTTTGAGGACAAGTCGCTTTTCGAGGGGGAGTGATGTTATGTGCGGCAAAGTCTATAGACGCCGTAGTGGCTAGACTCAACCGTGTGCCGACCTGGGGGGGGATTACCACGTCACCAGTGGGCGCACAGGGTTGGGTTAGTTTGGATTCATAGTCATTAGGGTTTGGTTAGTTGAGATTAAAGAGTCCTAAAAGATAGGGATAGTTGGTTAGGTTGAGTCCTATATGTATCAAACTCTATGGATCAATAAAGGGTTAGCCTAGGGTTGAGTTTATCTCACCTTGGTTCCTGGGCGTTACTGTTCATGATCCACCTCTTGCCGCAAGTCTTCAGCCAGGCGCCGAGCACGGCGCCGCCAGTTCATCGTCGAGGCTTCAAGCCCAGGCCTCGCACCTTCCACTCCTACAGCCTTCGATCCCTAAGCCGCAACAGCTCTCCTACACGTGGAAGAAAAATAAAATACATTTTTACCGTTCCAACAGTTGATAAATGGATGGATAAATGGAGATAGTACAGCTCAATATTCAGCATAATATGCAATATATGAGATTTTTACACAAAGTGTTAACCACACTGAAATCACCAAATGAGGATGTGGTCAGTCAAACTTAAAACCAATCGCAAAAGAAGTAGATGCAACTGAACCAGAGCCCAGAGATGCAACATAAGTTCATATACCAAATACTCATGTGGTAGTTTAATCAAGAGCATACATTAATAAACATAAATACTTAATTTGCTCTGATATCATACAGAAACTAAAACTTATCTTGAAGCCATTACCCTGATCGTGGAGCATCCGTGGCAATTTCCTGCCAGCTGCTGCACCAGACCTCACATCCCTTGCATCAAGCTCCGCTTCCGCGGCCCTTCGATCAGCCATGATTTCATCAAGATTCCTCTCATCCTCAAGTGAATCATCTAAGCCAAAGCCAACTGACTCATACTGTTCATGCTTTCTAAGTTTCCATCCTTCGGTAATCACTTCAATCAGGAAAAGGAAAAAGGACTAAATATCAAAGCAAAAGACTTCAAAACTGACAGTCAGCAGATATATAGAATGGCTTTGATACATTGCAATCGTGTAAAAAATGCATGTGTTCGTTATAAACATACAGTAACTTTAGTTTGATAACAATGTGGAACTAAACACAAATTCACATCAAGGCAGCAGGGCCACTACACAAATCTCTCATCAAAGATGGTGAGCCTGGGCATCTGCCCCTATAGACACAGAGAGTCACGCAAAGCACTTCAATTTAGCAAATTTTGAGATGGGTCAAGTGTATTTCCGTCAGAGAGGTCAGACCAGTAAAATTAGCAAAATTTAGATGCATGACCAAGAACTAAAGTTGGTCGTTTTCAATAAAACATAGTAGATTTAAGCTCATTTCCATCAATCCAACAAATATTAGTTAAGCCTGTCATTTAGTTACTCTAGCACTACAATTACGTACTCAACTACAAAATTCTTCCCCAATTT